TCCTGCACCGACTGTGGCCTTCGATTTTGCATCTCCTGGTTCGAAACATCTAAAAAAAGAACCTTTCGTTCCACCGTTTGGTCATTGCCCCGCATCCTCCTTTCCATGTCGAAATGTCGCCAAACTGTCCCTCGTTGTTAAGGGTGCGGCGCACAGACTGTCGGTGCGCCTGTCCCCGTCTCCGGCTGCTGTACTCCGAGGGAGAATGAACTCGATATCATAATCGTCATCTGTTATTGTGGTGATTGGAGGCCCAGGCTTGTGGACAGACGGCGTGCCAGAGCGAAAGAGCGCTGCTGCCTTCTCAGTCACGGAAAAACTCATTACCGTATCTCGGCTACGGAGAGATGAGACGATTGCCTGCTTTATAGATACCAATTTTTCTATCTGCTCCGCAGCTCGTGTCGTCTTCGTTGTCTGTTCTATCTCACATTGAATGACCATCTCCGCAAAAGTCAGATGCTGCAGGGTGACGCCCAGGTTTCGGCCTTCCTTCCTCATCTGAAAAACTTTTAAGAGTGTCGTCTTGAAGGCGGGGGCGCCCCACGGATCGTCGCCGCTCCGTCTCCACGTCTTGTTCTCCTTCATCTCGGTGCGCATCTTGTTACGAGCGGGGAGGTGGTGGTCCGTTTGCTGCGATCCAACGAGCGGAATCCCTTTTTCATCCCAAAACCAATGTTTCAGCTGCCATGTAATCTCTCCGTGGATCGTCGTCATCATTTTGTTGCATTCCCCTATGACAGCTCGAATCCCGCACTCTGCTATGTGAGACCGCAACCCTTCCTCTGCTGTCTCCCCTGCCAGTTTCGCCGTCGCTTGCACCGCCGCGAAAAACGCGTCCTCTGTCGGGTACAGAGTTGCGTCGTTTGCCGCAGAGAACGCAAAGGCTTTGGCGATGGAACGCAACAGCTTGCCCTTCATTTTCTTCGCGAATGTGGCGCCCTCGTCCTTCGGTCCTTGCACGGCTCCGCCGCTTGCGCGCACTTTCGTTCGTGACGTTGCGATCGGTGGGAAACAGAAGACACAACGCACAGGAGAGTGTTAACAACTCAGCGCCTTGTTTTGAATACAGCACTTGCAAAATTGAAGATTCGGCTATCAGCTGTGCGTTTACAAAGATACTTTTCCGTGCGTAAAGGCGTGCACGGTGTGGGGGCACGGAATTATGTGATCGGAGTGGGAGGGGAGTCAGTGTGATGCGGGGTTTTTTACCTTTTCCAGCGGCGCTGACGTGCTGTACGATTTGTCTGTCACCGACACGCTCCTCGGTGTCGCTGCCATTGCGTGTCTGCCGTTCTCCTTCTCTGCGCAGCGTCCTTGAAGGAAATGGCGAACCACCTCTTTCCGAAGCGGCGCTCTGGTCTTCGCCGGTTCTCTCGCTGGCCGACTTGCTGTCGCTGTCGTCGTTCTCATCAGTGTCTTGCGATTGTCTGCGGGAAGAATCGTTGTCGTCTCCCTCGTTTCCTGGTTCCTCGTCCACCGCACCATCTGACTTCTCTGGCGCGGAACAGTCGTGCTCCTCCTCTTCTTCCACTTGGGGTCCGCTGTGCCTGTCGTCAGACCCTCTAATATCGATTGTCTCCACTGTTCTGTCGTCTTTGTAGGATATTCTCTTCTTTGTTCTACGGTGCGTAGTCGCGCTTCTATCATCCCGCGATCTTTTTTCCGGGGTCCTTGGCGGACAGTTTTCGGCGCCGCTTCCGCGCTTTCCCCGGATGGGGGTCGAGGGGGGCGACTCGTTACGTTTTTTCAGCGTTGAAATCTTTCGTGCACTCGAAGGGACTGTAACTTACGATCCGGATTTGTGGCTGCGCTTGTGCTCCATTTTCGCAGAGGGGCCAGCGCCGCTTCTGTGATGCTCTTTCGACTGCTTCTTTTCGGCCCTCGATTTCTTCCGGCACTTGTCTTTCTTTCCCAGGGCTTTCAAAGACCTGCACAGATCCTCGTATTTTGGCCTTGGAGTCATCACCCCTTTTTTCCCACATGCATCAAAGTGGAATAAGAACCACAAATGCGTCAGAGAAGTTGTTTGTCACGCAGAGAGAGAGAGAGAGAGAGAGAGAGAGAGAGAGAGAGAGAGAGAGAGAGAGAGAGAGAGAGAGAGAGAGAGAGAGAGAGA